AAACATCTGGGAAAACGAGAGAGCGGGGCCTCCCTCACTTACGTTTCACTGAAACACCCAAATATAACTCTCCCAACTTCCACCTCAGAATCTATAATTGTTGTAAACTCCAGCGGTTCAATGTTTTCTAGGAATAGACTAACTTAGTTTATTCAGCTAGCTAACTTGGTACAGTATTCTTCAGTGAAAACCGTCCAGGGCACCGAATCCAATGACGCCACAGCCAACTAGCAATAGTTGGCCACAACAAACCACCAGTGTGTCAACACACCAAGCAGATCATTCGTGTCCGTGTCTAACGTTGTGTAAAGTTCTGGGTTAGTCCCGACAGCTTGAGCGAGTCCGTCGTCAACTTATTCAGCCAGTTAGTTAGCTAGAATAGTTAGCATACTAGTTAGCCATTGCTCTCTGCCAATGAAAAAAAATAACTCCTCCCACGGCACGAACACACAGAGAGAGCCAAGCTAACGTTCACTAGTCACCCATGTCCCGAATTCCCTTGAACGACTCTGGTTACCAGTATGTAAAAACAAAACACAAATGTAGGTTATAACTTACCCCTAGCAGCTACTGTTAGCCAGCCAAGTGCAAAGCTAGCCACTGAATCGACTCAGCCAGTTCGCGTCTGTTCGCTAGGTCGTTCCAGCTATTGTTTATTTAGCTATCCAGGTAGCAACAAGCTAGCTATATTTCGAGCACAGTAGTTACTAACTACCTAACGCCAACGCTTCAGACAATGAGGTTAGAAAAAGCTGAATGGTAGGCAGCTAGCTGGCATAATTACAGGTACTCTTAAGCGTGAAACAACTATCCACAGTTGCTAATAGTTACCAGTAGCTACCCACTAGCTAGTCCAGGTAGTGGGTTAGCTAGCCTCGTGCTTCACCGGGCTCAGCCGAAATCTATTAGGACAAAAAGCTCTGGGCCTGCTGGGATAGGAAACTGGGGACCTAGCTTAGCAGGAAACTGTGAAACCGCTAGGTGATTAGGGAACTGAGGGCTAAGATACTCTGGACCTACTGGGGCTATAGACTGAAGACCTAATAGGGCAGAAGGTGAGGTGTCTCCTACGACAAAACACTGAACACCTTGGTCAGGAGGGTACCCCACGGGGATATCAGGAGGGTCTCCCAAGGCTGGAGCTAGCGGGAAACAGTTTGGCGAGGCCAGCAAGAACCCCATGGCTGAGACCGGCAGGTTCCTCCAGGCAGGGACTGACAGGGCCTGGACAGCAGACATGGACCAAGCCACTGCAGCAGAGACTGGAGGAGGCTCCCAGTGAGGAGCAGGGAGATGTCTTTGGACAGCAGTAGGCTGGACGTCAAAGGTAGGACTAGGCAGATCCCACCTGGCAGGGACCGGAGCGGTCTGAGTGGCAGGGCTGGACTTGGTGCCTTCAGCAGCTACAGACAGGGCTCCCGCATTATAGATCAACTGACATTCAGAGGTGTCAGCTGGAGTAGGGTTCTCCCTCACAGTGAACTCTGGTATCTCTTCCATCCCTGGAGAAGGCTGTAGGTCTTCCTGCTCACGAACAGGCAGGGAGGTAAGGATTAATCTTGGGTCCAGAACTGGGATCAGCAGAAACTCTGTCACTGGAGACTGCGATGGCACAACTGTGGGAATCAGTTGAGACTCTGTGACAGGCGCTGGTTGAAGCACAGCAGTGGGAGTGGTGAGCTGAAGCTCCATGGCAGGAGCCGGTGTAGTAGGCCCCATTACTAACTTGAGCTTCATTGTCGGAACAGGCTGGATCTGCACGGCTGGGGTCGGCTGGAGCACAGTGGTAGGGTGCTCCGCCAGGGTGAGCTCTGGTAGCTCCTCTGGCCCTGAAGAAAGCTGTAGCACCACTGTAAGGGACTCCACAGCAGGGGTCGGATCCGAGACCGGGGCTAATGGTGAAGCTGATGTGGAACGGCACTGCGTCTCAAGCATCTTCCGACGTCTGGCATCAATGAGCTGGTCGCGCTGGTGCCCGCAGAACCTCACTATGGCGCTTCTGGTGTAGTATCTGTTGCATGACGATCTCTGAGATGATGTCATCAACTTCTTGGGCATCTTGGTGGCACAGGTCCCTGTTCTGCCCCTCTAAGACGTCTTTCAGTTGTAAGAGGAGAGAACTGTTGAAGGACTGGCTGAGACGGTCAGGTGACAACTGGCAGTGTCCATCAGGTAAGTACTGGCGACGGTGGTCGGGTGGACTGTAGGAACCTTTCATCTTACGGATTGCTTCAATGATCTCATCAATCTTGTCACACTGGCTGTGTAAACGCAGTGAGACCTCTCCGGTTGTCACTGGCGGTCCACGCTCAGGTCGACGCTGATCCCGGTGATCTCTGGTCGAGGTTCAACGCTGATCTTGGCGATCTCTTGTCGAGGTTAGCCTGAGGTGGGAACCTGGTAAATTAGCAACCAATGGAAAGGCTGAGGCTCTGTCCTCTATTCTGCTGGTCAGCCTGGGTGGTGACTTGGACTGGTGATGAGTTGTTGAAGTGGAAGAAGGCTACTTTGACTGCAGTAAATCCCACCTTGAGTGTTCAAGAAAACCCTCTAGCTGCTCTCCCTCGTAGGAGTGGTATGTGGATGTGTGTGGTTGTCTGTGCCTTGACTCATAGCCATCGCCGTAATTTTCTAGATATTGTGGCAGGTAAGCTGGTCGGCGCGGACGGACCACATCTTGAGGAGGATATTCTCTGCTAACTGGCATCCTTGGGCTGTAGCAGTTACTGGATCCGGCTCGAAGGACCATGTAAAATAGAGTGGAGGGTTGTAGAGAATCGAAGGACCATGAAGGTAATAAGAAACCTTAGGTGCTGGCTTAAGGCCGGTAGCAACCACTACAGAATGTCCGGTCAGAACAAGGATGAGGCGGATGTTCAGGTTAAGGGGAGTTTAATGGAAGAAGATGTCCACATCCACACACACACATCAAACACACATCTGACCACACATGATTCAGATAACTGAGAATCATGTACAGTGATAACTGACATTAACTATGTGATTGTTTAGATGCACGCACAATTAAACATCAGACATACAGGGATTCAGTCCACAGGAGGAAAAGTTCAGCAGGAGGGAAATCTGTGGAAATGCTCATCAGGATGGGGAAACCATGTTTTTGACCACACAGCGTGCTGGGGTCATAGACTAACTGAAACTGAAGTCCCGGGAATCAAGGCCACTGATAGGCTGAACGAGATGTGGTGATAAGTATTTGGTGTGACATTAACGAAAAAGACACTAACAAAAGTGGGGGTCCTCTGAATGGGAGACTAAGCTGCCCGACTAGAACTAACCAGAAGGGATGGCTAGAATCAGCTGACTGAAGCTGGCCGTTTTAACAGAATGTCAATGCATTTATGCACATTGAACGTGGATAATGCGCTCCACAATTTAAATATTATTATTATAATTATTATTTAGAATGTATTTTTTGCATTTATGTGAGAATAAGATAGACAATGGAATTATGTTAGCTTTTTCGCTATTTGTTCGATGTTTAAAATAAATGATTTGAAATAGAATTACTAGAACAGACATTCCCTTGAGTGTACTGTCAAATTGCAGTGGTGTGAGGGGCTTCGTCCATTCTAGCCGTCCTATTTCTATGGCTCCTACATTGTTTAGGAGGAAAGTAACACAAGGGCTGCGTCTACACAGGCAGCCCAATTCTAATCTTTTTTCCACTAATTATTGACCAATCACATCTAATTTCTTCAAATCCGATATTTTTCAGAACAGATCCGATTGGTCAAAAGACGAATTAGTGAAAAAAATATCTGAATCCGTCTGCCTTTGTAAATGCAGTCATAGAGGCTAGAAGGGTACTTAAAGGGGCAATCAGCAGTTCAAACAATAACAAAGTGTACACTCCACCCGTTTCTGTAAAAATATAAGGGGGTGGGGCTAGACCACTGTCAAATTCATAGACAGAGCTATGGATGCAAGGACTGAACATTATTGATATCAACATTTTACTTTAACCATGTTTTGAGGCTATATGGTGTTTGTTTACAAACATTGAAGTAAATATATACCTATATTTGATGGGTTACGACAGTTGAACTTAGCTCATGAGGCATACGTTGTATTCTCCAAGAATCAATGGGTACGTATCATTTATTTATAAGTCCAAAAATGGATGTAGCAACTGCTGATTGCCCCTTTAAGTTCAAATGTACGTTTCCATTTCCGAGCAGAGGATCAGATAATAGTTTACTTCTTCCTGCCCCAACTAAACTCCAGCACACCCAATATGACAGTCTTCACATACCAGGAGATAACTCTGAGAAAATGAAGCTGTAAGCAAGAGAGTGTTGAGATTTTTTTGACATATAAATGAACCCAAGCTGTTGTCACAACATTTCAATCTTTATGCAGTTATACAGTGATATCTCTAGCATCATATGGAGTTAGTCAAGTTTATCATCATATGGGGTTAGTCTGATGCTTATCATTGCTCTATAGTACTGCTATGTGGCTTTGTGGAGAACTTCTATGCCAACCAGCCAGGACCAGTTGATCTTTAGACTGTTTATTTTTGAAAATGTGATAACCTTTTCTTTTGTTTCCTGGAATGTCTTGATCAGAGTAATCTAGATACTGGCTCCCACTTCCATTTTCTACACAACATACATGTAACAAAATATAAGACAACAACAACAGCTTTACAAAAACCTCAAAAGCAATGCAAGCAACATTACAACCACAGGGCACAGACGGTTTTCCATGTCGATTCAAAGTCATCAAATTGAATTCAAAATCAATGCAATCAATGTTACTATCAGGCATTGACCTCACAATGCATTATTACTTTGTTGCTTGTAAAATATATTTTTTAATGCATACCATCCAGATCATTCTCATTTAGTGACTCAACAAGTCACAATGTTTTGTGATCAAGTACCAGCGTAGGAATTCATTAAGATAAAGGCAACACGTCCCCTATGACCTAAGTTTAGGAATACGATCCAGGAGAGTTATCAGACATTTCGGACTCAGACCTGAGACACAGATGTGTGTGTTGTGGCATCCTCACTGAAGACATTCTCAAATACTTTACGGAAAGAGATCCTGACCCTCTCCTTGAAGTCCTGGCCCATGAACACGTACAGGATAGGATTGAGGCAGCTGTTGACATAGGCCAGAGAGATGACCACAGGGTACCAATTCCAGGCTTCACCTGCCGAGGCAAACCTACCATACCCAATCACCATACCTATGATGTGATACGGCAGCCAGCACACAAAGAATGCTGCCACCACAGCCAGAATGATCCAGAAGGTCCTCTGAGACTTGAAGCGACCGCTGCTCACCCTCCTGCCGATGAGCAGGTAGCAGACAGCGATAACCAACAGGGGAACGAGGAAGCCAAGGACCAGCCTGGGGACATGGGTGGCTTTGATGGCCAAAAAGATGCCCCTAATTTTGTTTTCGCCAAGGGGGTATATAGAGGTGCACATAATTTCTTCGTTGTCGTCACTAACATCGATGGTCCCATTATGGATCATGGTGGGGAGGCTGAGGAGCAGGGCCAGGTCCCAGGCCAGACCACACAGCAACCAGGCCAGCTTGATGCTCCGGTGGTTCTTGGACCAGACAGGCAGGATGATCAGGACAAAGCGGTCCAGGCTGATGAGAACCAGGGTGAAGATGCTGGCAAACATGTTGAGGTACATGACAGAGGGGATAACCTTACACATAGCCTCTCCGAATGGCCAGTGTTGGTTCAGTATGATTTCAGCCAATGAGAAGGGTATGGAGATACAGCAGAGGAGGTCTGCTACAGCCAGGTTTACAAACCAGACGGTTTTAACTGTCCTCTTCATCTTCACTCCAGCTATCCAGATGACTAAGACGTTGCCTGGGATACCGAGGACACAGGTTATGCTGTAGAGGACCATGGACACCACCCGTATGGACTGATTTACCTGCTCTGAATGATCAGTTTGAATGAACATGTCATAATAATCATCCAAGTACTCCTCTGAGAAATTCATGTTTTCACTAGGGGAGAAATAGTTTGATACACAATGTCACTCATTGTAAAACACAACATTTTCTAACTTTATGTTTTAACTTAACTGAGCATTGCACTAAGGGTTCTCAGTGAGGTCATTCTTATAACCAGTCATAATTAATGGCAATAGTCTTGCTGTTTATATACCATGAGGCTACATTAACCGAATTGAAATTCAAACATTAGCACCTCCAATGTTGATAATGTTGGCCCTTAGTTATTACTGTCATGAAACAGAGGGGTGTCAAATCCTCTTCAAAGTTAAACAAATATTTGAAAATAGTATCACTCTATCAATTATGTTTTCCCAAGTTAATAATTTAAAAGGTGCTGTGCAAGAGCTCACCTATAATTCAACTGAACATTTGCATCCAATGTACCTCTTCTTTCAGGTCTCTGTTCTGATTTTGTCACTTAGCTTAAGGTTTTGAGTTTTTCAGGGATAGAACGTGATAGGGAAGGGCAAAATCGATGGGAAGTAGGTGACAAAATGAGTAATAAAGATCAAGAAAGAAGAAGTATTGAAAGTACCTACTAGGAACACCACATCATTTCAATGTGGATAATTGGGTCATACTTGGTTGAGACATTGATTAATGAGATTACAACCTATATTCACCAACTCAAAAAGACAGGCAAAAGTTAGCTGAATTTCCAATGTGTTATCACTATGCTTTCAACCATCTAAATGCACAACCAAATTACAATGGAAAAACAATGGCAGATTTTTGGTTTAGTTGTCAGCCAAATGTCTATCACTGCGCTTTCAATCATTTAAAAGTACAGCAAAGTTCAAATGGGAATACAATGTCAGATATGTTGTTTATTTATACAATAGATTGTGTTATCACTGTGCTTAATCTAATAGTAGAACCAAACTACCTGGATTGCAGTTGAGATTACATTAAAAGTACATGTTGAATGTGATCAATGCCTGTCACGCCCTGACTCTGGGGACTCTTATTTGTTGAGTCAGGGTGTGATTTTCTATGTGGTGTAGATCTATGTTTATAGTCTAGTATGTCTAGATTTATGTTGGCCGGTGTGGTTCCCAATCAGAGGCAGCTGTCGCTTGTTGTCTCTGATTGGGGACCATACTTAGGCAGCCTATTGGCACTAGTGGGTTGTGGGATCTTGTTCCGTGTGAGGTATGTTGTTTGTGTACCTTGGACTTCACGTTTCGTTTAGTTTGTTGTTTTGTCGTTGTTTATTCGTTTCAAATAAACATGTATGCATATCACGCTGCGCCTTGGTTCCACCAGTCTGTAAACGAACGTGACAGAAGATCCCACCAAACGAGGACCAAGCAGCGTGCCCAGGCGGAGAGAGTAGCCATGTCACAGGTGGGCAAGTTGTGGTTGTGGGAGGAGATATTTGCGGGGAAAGGGCCATGAGCGAAGGTAGATGCCCAGGCAGGAGAGGAGCAACGGCAACACAGAGGACGCCGGTCGAGGAAGAAGCCCGAGAAACAGCCCGAATAATTTTTTTGGGGGGGGCTAAAAGGGTGGTTGGCGGAGCCTAGTGTTAGAGCAGAGCCAACTCCCTGTACTCACGCGAGGAAGCGTGTGACTGGGCAGGCTCCGTGTTATGCGGAGCTACGTACTGTGTCGCCAGTGTGCCGGCACAGTCCTGTACGTCCTGTGCTAGCACCACGCACGTACCGTGCGAAGATGGGCATCCAGCCAGGACGGGATGTGCCGGCTCAACGCTCCTGGTCTCCAGTACGCCTCCTCGGTCCCGCATATCCTGCGCCGGTTCTACGTACTGTATTGCCAGTGCGCTGGCACATCCCAGTGCATCCTGTGCTAATGCCTCCCACATACTGTGCGGAAGTAGGCATCCAGCCAGGATGGGTTGTGCCAGCTCTCCGCTTCAGACCTCCAGTCCGCCTCCACAGTCCGGTACGGCCCGTGCCTGCTCCCCGCACCAAACCAGTGGGGCGTGTTCCCAGCCCGCCCTGTTCCTGCTCCTCGCACCAAGTCAGTGGTGCGCGTCACCAGCCCGGCCCGGCCTGTTCCTGCTCCTCGCACCAAGCCAGTGGTGCGCGTCGCCAATCCGGCCCGGCCTGTTCCTGCTCCTCGCACCAAACCAGTGGTGCGTGTTCCCAGCCCGGCCCGGCCTGTTCCTGCTCCTCGCACCAAGGTAGTGGTGCGCGTCGCCAGCCCGGCCTGTTCCTGCTCCTCGCACCAAGACAGTGGTGCGCGTCGCCAGCCCGGCCCGGCCTGTTCCTGCTCCTCGCACCAAGCCAGTGGTGCGCGTCGCCAGCCCGGCCCGGCCTGTTCCTGCTCCTCGCACCAAGCCAGTGGTGCACGTCGCCAGCCCGGCCCGGCCTGTTCCTTCTCCTTGAACCAAGCCAGTGGTGCGCGTCGCCAGTCCGGTCCGGCCCGTGCCTGCTCCTCGCACCAGACCTGTGGTGCGTGTGTCCAGTCCGGCATGGTCCGTGCCCGTTCCACCGGCGCCTGGTCCGGCACCAGTCAGCAGCTCCAGTCCGGAGCCAGAGCAGTCCGCTCCACCGGTGCCTGATCCAGCTCCGGTCAGCGGCTCCAGTCCAGACCCAGACGTCAGCCCCTCTCCAGGTTCGGGGTCTCCCACACCAGGGTCCAGACAGGGCTTGGAGTATAGTGGGAGGAAGGAGAGGGGAAGCAGCGCGCCGAGGTCCAGACCAGACCAGGGGCGCAACAGGGAGGCGGAGAATAGGTGGTTGTCGCGCCAGGAGCCGGATCCGCCTCCGAGGCGGAATGCCCACACGGCCCCTACCCTGTTAAGTAAAGGTTGTGCGGTCGGAGTCCGCATCTTTGGGGGGGGGGGGGGGGGTACTGTCACGCCCTGACTCTGGGGACTCTTATTTGTTGAGTCAAGGTGTGATTTTCTATGTGGTGTAGATCTATGTTTATAGTCTAGTATGTCTAGATCTATGTTGGCCAGTGTGGTTCCCAATCAGAGGCAGCTGTCGCTTGTTGTCTCTGATTGGGGACCATACTTAGGCAGCCTATTGGCACTAGTGGGTTGTGGGATCTTGTTCCGTGTGAGGTATGTTGTTTGTGTACCTTGGACTTCACGTTTCGTTTAGTTTGTTGTTTTGTCGTTGTTTATTCGTTTCAAATAAACATGTATGCATATCACGCTGCGCCTTGGTTCCACCAGTCTGTAAACGAACGTGACAATGCCATTTGAGATTCTGCACAGATTATTACAGCCCTTGTGAAGATCTCCACAGACCTGCCTCAACCTATGCATGCTATCTCATACATGCATGCTTTGTATGATTACATAAGAAGTAATGTATAGTTACAGTAACCTCAAAATGTGGCCATGGATGTGTTACTCATTTTAAGGTTGAATGTTACATTTGTTTGTAAGATAGCCTTAACCTTAGGCTATTTACTGTATCAAAAAAGTAATATTGAATTGTGTTTGGTTGACAACGCAACCAAATATCAACATTTAAAGGAGATGTAGCCTAGCTCCTGAGTGGCGCAGTGGTCTAAGGCACTGCATCGCAGTGCTAACTGTGCCACTAGAGATCCTGGTTCGAATCCAGGCTCTGTCGCAGCCGGCCGTGACCGGGAGACTCATGGGCGGCGCACAATTGGCCCAGCGTCTTCCAGGGTAGGGGAGGGAATGGCCGGCAGGGATGTAGCTCAGTTGATAGAGCATGGTGTTTGCAACGCCAGGGTTGCGGGTTTGATTCCCACGGGGGGCCAGTATAAAAAAAGATGTATTCACTAACTGTAAGTCGCCCTGGATAAGAGCGTCTGCTAAATGACTAAAAATGTAAATGTAAATACTGCTTGGACAGGTTCATCTGAGTCACTGGCATGATCACATTCTTAACTTTGATTTTTGGTTGAGTTGGAGATATGAATACAACCTATCAATTGTTAACATGTCGACAAGTTAATAGGCTATTTATTGTATTCCAAAAGTGATATTGAATTGTGTCATTGAATTGTGTCTACACAACTAAATATCAATATTTGAAGGAGATATATATTCTGTTTGGATAGTTACATCTGTGCCACTGACTAAGTCTGGCTTTAATTCCAGTTTGTCTAAAAATTAATAATTTGATATGTTGTATTCACGTCTCCATCTCAACCAAAATTCAAAGTTAAAGAACAGGACTAAATCAAATCAAACTTTAAATGCACTATGCATAAGTTGCTCCTCCATTTCCTGGTTGATAAAATTCTAATAGTTCGCCTAATTTCAGATTATGTGACAAAACAAGCAAGTATAGCATAGAGAATCATTGTACCATCTAAACCGCTGTGAAATATATTTTCAGTAACCAAAAATATTGAATTTTCAGCTGTTTAAAGCTGGTGTACAAAATCGAAAGTAAAAGACGCAAAAACTAAACTTAAGAACGGGAAGCATAGAAATAGTGCACATAGAACATATCTACTGCTTTTTAGACATGCTTTCAATAAGAATGACAGATCTATAACTCACATTTCTAGGTGAACTTGGCCGGGTCGCCCAAAAATGTACATATTGCAGCTTTAAATTAAGTTTTATTTGATTTCGTCCTATTCTTTAACTTAGATTTTTGGTGGAGATGGAGGCCTTTGTTTTCATAATCGCTCTTAATCGATGGGAAGTAGGTGACAAAATGAGTAATAAAGTTCAAGAAAGAAGAAGTATTGAAAGTACCCACTAGGCACCACATCATTACAACGTGGATAATTGGATAATACTTGGTTGAGACATTGATTGAGAAGTAACAAAAGTTTATTACAAAAACAGGGGGCAAGCAAATGACAGGTCAAGGGCAGGCAGAGGTCAGTAATCCAGATCAGAGTCCAAAAGGTACAGAACAGCAGGCAGTCTCAGGGTCAGGGCAGGCAGAGGTCAATAATCCAGGATGGTGTGACAAGGTATAGAATGGCAGGCAGGCTCAGGGTCAGGGCAGGCAGAATGGTCAAAACCGGGAAAACTAGAAAACAGAAACTTGAAAAATACAGGCGCAAAGGGGAAAACCACTGGTATGCTTGACGAAACAAAATGAACTGGCAACAGACAAACAGAGAATACAGGTATAAATACACTGGGGATAATGGGGAAGATGGGCGACACCTGGAGGGGGTTGGAGACAAGCACAAAGACAGATGAAACAGATCAGGGTGTGAAACCTTCAAAAGTTGATATTTGGTTGCATTGACAACCAAACACAATTCGATATCACTAAATATCATTACATTTGAAATCAACCAGAGCTTGAAACCCTAGGCCTATTGTCTATGTTTAGTTCAATTCTGTGTTGAATTGAAACAATAGCTGTTGATGACTTTGCAAATGCCATACAGGCCTTAGCAGAATTGATCAGATATGAGTGATAAAGTATGGTCACATTTCATTTGCACTTTTAAACCTACCCTTTAGAATGACTTCAATAGCAACATTGAATATATTTCGTTTTTAAGTGGAGATCTCGCTGCAATCATTCTCACGATAGTACATTGGTAATAGTCAGTGACAAATATCATAGCTAAACAGGGCTTGGTTAAATCCCTGGATGGGAGACCAAAGGGTAGCTGTAGATAGATCACTTCTGCAGTAGGAGGTGCTGCCCAGCCTAAGGTATTTTTTTCTGATAGTGGATATAGATCAGATGTTGTTTTAAAGGTAAAAATGCAATATATTCTATACAAGGTTAGTCTGTTGAAAGTTTGTTTACCATGATGACATAATCCTGTGGTTGAAATGTCACCTTCAAAACAGTTGATTACTTTTTTCAAATCCAATGTATTTCCACGTAGATTCCACATCACAATCCGTTGACAATATACGTTGAAACAACGTTGATTCAACCAGTTTGTGCCCAATGGGTAGAGTGTCACACCCTGGCCGAGAGGGATTGTGAATATACTCATCCTAATACCATGCGTCTGACTATCAATCAATCAATATTATAAAGCCTTTTTTACATCAGCATTTGTCACAAAGAACTTTACAGATACCCAGCTTAAAACCCCAAAGAGAAAGCAATGCAGAAGCACAGTGGCCAGGAAACACTACCTAGAACACATGAAACTAGGAAGAAACCTAGAGAGGAACCAGGCTCAGATGGGTGGCCAGTACTCTACTGGCTGTACCAGGTAGAGATTAAGAGGCCATGTGGCCATTAACTGGTTGCCTGATGACTCAAACTGAATTATTCCGCTGCTCTGTTTGCTACATACTTCAGTCTGAGACTGCCATTGTTGAAGTCAGTTGTAGTGACGTCAAAATGAAGGGTGTTGTGCAAAACAAATTCATCAGCGATTGAATCATCTCTAACAAATCTGAGTATCAAAGCTAATGACGAATTTTCTAAACGCTGCTTTACCCACGTGTTTTCTGGCTCAACCCATCAGTTTCTGGGTCCAATCAGAACAGTTAGAATGTGTTCACATTTGGTGAAGGGTCAGGAGGTACTCAGATCCAGACTCATCGTGGAGAAGAATGTGCGGTCCCATGTGGCTCAGTTGGTAGAGCATGGCGCTTGAATTGCCAGTATTGTGGGTTTGATTCCCACAGGGGAGCAGTATGAAAATGTATGCACTCACTACTGTAAGGCACTCTGGATAAGAGCGTCTACTAAAATGTAAGACACGAACGTGCGTATTTTGGCTGGAGCAAGATATCTGGGTAGCCAGGCAAATTAAATGGTGGAAAATAAACTCCGCAAAAAAAGAAACGTCCTCTCACTGTCAACTGCGTTTATTTTCTGCAAACTTAACACTTGTGTGTATATTTGTATGAACATAACAAGAGTCAACAACTGAGACATAAACTGAACAAGTTCCACAGACATGTGACTAACATAAATTGAATAATGTGTCCCTGAACAAAGGGGGGGTCAAAATCAAAAGTAACAGTCAGTATCTGGTGTGGCCACCAGCTGCATTAAGTACTGCAGTGCATCTCCTCCTCATGGACTGCACCAGATTTGCCAGTTCTTGCTGTGAGATGTTACCCCACTCTTTCACCAAGGCACCTGCAAGTTCCCTGACATTTCTGGGGGGAATGGCCCTAGACCTCACCCTCCGATTCAACAGGTCCAAGCTCAGTCCGATGATGCTGTGACACACCGCCCCAGACCATGACGGACCCTCCACCTCCAAATCGATCCCGCTCCAGAGTACAGGCCTCGGTGTAATGCTCAATCCTTCTATGATAAACGCGAATCCGACCATCACCCCTGGTGAGACAAAACCGTGACTCGTCAGTGAAGAGCACTTTTTGCCAGTCCTGTCTGTCCAGCGACGGTGGGTTTGTGCCCGTAGGCGACGTTGTTGCCGGTGATGTCTGGTGAGGACCTGCCTTACAATAGGCCTACAAGTCCTCAGTCCAGCCTCTCCCAACCTATTGCGGACAGTCTGAGCACTGACGGAGTGATTGTGCGTTCCTGGTGTAACTCGGGCAGTTGTTGTTGCCATCCTGTACCTGTCCCGCAGGTGTGATGTTAGGATGTACCGATCCTGTGCAGGTGTTGTTACACGTGGTCTGCCACTGCGAGGACGATCAGCTGTCCGTCCTGTTTCCCTGTAGCGCTGTCTTAGGCGTCTCACAGTACGGACATTGCAATTTATTGTCCTGTCCACATCTGCAGTCCTCATGCCTCCTTGCAGCATGCCTAAGGCACATTCACGCAGATGAGCAAGGACCCTGGGCATCTTTCTTTTGGTGTTTTTCAGAGTCAGTAGAAAGGCCTCTTTAGTGTCCTAAGTTTTCATAACTGTGACCTTAATTGCCTACCGTCTGTAAGCTGTTAGTGTCTTAACGACCGTTCCACAGGTGCAAGTTCATTAATTGTTTATGGTTCATTGAACAAGCATGGGAAACAGTGTTTAAACCCTTTACAATGAAGATCTGTGAAGTTATTTGGATTTTTACGAATTATCTTTGAAAGACAGGGTCCTGAAAAAGGGACGTTTCTTTTTTTGCTGAGTTTCTATCAATACTATGGCTAGATGAATAGACATTTAGCTAAACGTAGGGAAATGTTCAGTCTTAGTGATGATGTGTTCCACTCTGATGCATTTGAGAATAAAACCACTCATTTAAGTAAACAACAATGCACGTGAAAAGTTTCAGAGGTGTCTGGAAAAATGTTTGTTCCTTTTTCTGAAAAATGTAATTTTTTCTGAAAAAGGAACTAACATTTTAGAGGTCTACCTCTTCTCCACTCAGAAAAAAGAACTAACATTTTCCAGGACACCTCTGAAACATGCATTCTGATCTATTCAAATGAGTGGTTATATTCTCACATGCCTCAGAGTGGAACACATCCTCACTAAGACTGAACATCTATTAATCATCAGTTTGATGAAATGTTTTAAGAGTGAAGTGTGTTTTGAATTTACAGAATGTCAATGCATTTAGGGTGTCTATTTTAACATTTATTTTAGATTAATCTAGGCAAGACCATGCTGTTAGTTTTTTCTTCCTTCCAGTTAGATGTGATGAACAAATGACTGAATTAGAATAAACATCCTCTGCTATACAGCATCATCATGTGACGCTTTCTGAAGTGTGACATCATACATTATCTATACCCAAAGAGAAAGCTACTGATCAAAATATGATCTATTTATTTGATCAAATATGTAACAGAGATGATTGAGGATGGTACAGATTAACATTACAGAGTATTGACTATACAAACCACTACAGCATTGAGCCCCAAATCCCCTTTGTGGATGCCACAGTACATAGACAAACAGAAGCAGGCTAGCTATTCAAACTATTCAGGAGCTTCTCATCTAAACCATATTGCACATAATATTGCACACTTGAATAATGAAAAGATTTATAATAATGCTTGAATAATGCTAATTTTTATACAGTTGTTATCCTCATATTATATAAAGTAATCCAAAATGTAACCAGCTCTTCTTTAAGCAAGGGACTGTAATAAAAACATAATATGGAGTTAGTCAAGTTTATCATCATATGGGGTTAGTCTGATGCTTATCATTGCTCTATAGTACTGCTATGTGGCTTTGTGGAGAACTTCTATGCCAACCAGCCAGGACCAGTTGATCTTTAGACTGTTTATTTTTGTAAATGTGATAACCTTTTTGTTTTGTTTCCTGGAATGTCTTGATCAGAGTAATCTAGATACTGGCTCCCACTTCCATTTTCTACACAACATACATGTAACAAAATATAAGACAACAACAACAGCTTTACAAAAACCTCAAAAGCAATGCAAGCAACATTACAACCACAGGGCACAGACGGTTTTCCATGTCGATTCAAAGTCATCAAATTGAATTCAAAATCAATGCAATCAATATTACTATCAGGCATTGACCTCACAATGCATTATTACTTTGTTGCTTGTAAAATATATTTTTTAATGCATACCATCCAGATCATTCTCATTTAGTGACTCAACAAGTCACAATGTTTTGTGATCAAGTACCAGCGTAGGAATTCATTAAGATAAAGGCAACACGTCCCCTATAACCTAAGTTTATGAATACGACCCAGGAGAGTTATCAGACATTTCGGACTCAGACCTGAGACACAGATGTGTGTGTTGTGGCATCCTCACTGAAGACATTCTCAAATACTTTACGGAAAGAGATCCTGACCCTCTCCTTGAAGTCCTGGCCCATGAACACGTACAGGATAGGATTGAGGCAGCTGTTGACATAGGCCAGAGAGATGACCACAGGGTACCAATTCCAGGCTTCACCTGCCGAGGCAAACCTACCATACCCAATCACCATACCTATGATGTGATACGGCAGCCAGCACACAAAGAATGCTGCCACCACAGCCAGAATGATCCAGAAGGTCCTCTGAGACTTGAAGCGACCGCTGCTCACCCTCCTGCCGATGAGCAGGTAACAGACAGCGATAACCAACAGGGGAACGAGGAAGCCGAGGACCAGCCTGGGGACATGGGTGGCTTTGATGGCCAAAAAGATGCCCCTAATTTTGTTTTCGCCAAGGGGGTATATAGAGGTGCACATAATTTCTTCGTTGTCGTCACTAACATCGATGGTCCCATTATGGATCATGGTGGGGAGGCTGAGGAGCAGGGCCAGGACCCAGGCCAGACCACACAGCAACCAGGCCAGGGCGATGCTCCGGTGGTTCTGGGACCAGACAGGCAGGATGATCAGGACAAAGCGGTCCAGGCTGATGAGAACCAGGGTGAAGATGCTGGCAAACATGTTGAGGTACATGACAGAGGGGATAACCTTACACATAGCCTCTCCGAATGGCCAGTGTTGGTTCAGTATGATTTCAGCCAATGAGAAGGGTATGGAGATACAGCAGAGGAGGTCTGCTACAGCCAGGTTTACAAACCAGACGGTTTTAACTGTCCTCTTCATCTTCACTCCAGCTATCCAGATGACAAAGGCATTGCCTGGGATACCGAGGACACAGGTTATGCTGTAGAGGACCATGGACACCACCCGTATGGACTGATTTACCTGCTCTGAATGATCAGTTTGAATGAACATGTCATAATAATCATCCAAGTACTCCTCTGAGAAATTCATGTTGTCACTAGGGGAGAAATTGTTTGATACACAATGTCACTCATTGTAAAACACAACATTTTCTAACTTTATGTTTTAACTTAACTGAGCATTGCACTAAGGGTTCTCAGTGAGGTCATTCTTATAACCAGTCATAATTAATGGCAATAGTCTTGCTGTTTATATACCATGAGGCTACATTAACCGAATTGAAATTCAAACATTAGCACCTCCAATGTTGATAATGTTGGCCCTTACTTATTACTGTCATGAAACAGAGGGGTGTCAAATCCTCTTCAAAGTTAAACAAATATTTGAAAATAGTATCACTCTATCAATTATGTTTTCCCAAGTTAATAATTTAAAAGGTGCTGTGCAAGAGCTCACCTATAATTCAACTGAACATTTGCATCCAACTTACCTCTTCTTTCAGGTCTCTGTTCTGATTTTGTCACTTAGCTTAAGGTTTTGAGTTTAAAGGGATAGAACGTGATAGGGAAGGGCAAAATCGATGGGAAGTAGGTGACAAAATGAGTAATAAAGATCAAGAAAGAAGAAGTATTGAAAGTACCCACTGGGAACACCACATAATTTCAACGTGGATAATTGGGTAATACTTGGTTGAGACATTGATTCATGAGATTACAACCTATATTCACCAACTCAAAAAGACAGGCAAAAGTTAGCTGAATTTCCAATGTGTTATCACTATGCTTTCAACCATCTAAATGCACAACCAAATTACAATGGAAAAACAATGTCTGATTTTTGGTTTAGTTGTCAGCCAAATGTCTATCACTGCGCTTTCAATCATTTAAAAGTACAGCAAAGTTCAAATGGGAATACAATGTCAGATATGTTGTTTATTTATACAATAGATTGTGTTATCACTGTGCTTAATCTAATAGCAGAACCAAACTACCTAGATTGCAGTTGAGATTACATTAAAAGTACATGGTGAAAGTGATCAATGCCATTTGAGATTCTGCACAGATTATTACAGCCCTTGTGAAGATCTCCACAGACCTGCCTCAACCTATGCATGCTATCTTATACATGCATGCTTTGTATGATTACATAAGAAGTAATGTATAGTTACAGTAAACTCAAAATGAGGCCATGGATGTGTTACTCATTTTAAGGTTGAATGTTACATTTGTTTGTAAAATAGCCTTAACCTTAGGCTATTTACTGTATCAAAAAAGTAATATTGAATTGTGTTTGGTTGACAACGCAACCAAATATCAACATTTGAGCACGACTGAGCACGCCCCCATTCTCATCGACGGGGCTGTAGTGGAACAGGTTGAGAGCTTCAAGTTCCTTGGTGTCCACATCACCAACGAACTATCATGGTCCAAACACACCAAGACAGTGGTGAAGAGGGCACGACAAAGCCTATTCCCCCTCAGGAGACTAAAAAGATTTGGCATGGGTCCTCAGATCCTCAAAAAATTCTACAGCTGCACCATCGAGAGCATCCTGACTGGTTGCATCACCGCCTGGTATGGCAACTGCTTGGCCTCTGACCGCAAGGCCCTACAGAGGGTAGTGCGTACGGCCCAGTACATCACTGGGGCAAAGCTCCCTGCCATCCAGGACCTCTATACCAGGCGGTGTCAGAGGAAGGCCCTCAAAATTGTCAAAGACTCCAGCCACCCTAGTCATAGACTGTTCTCTCTGCTACCGCACGGCAAGCGGTACCGGAGTGCCAAGTCTAGGTCCAAAAGACTTCTCAACAGCTTCTACCCCCAAGCCATAAGACTCCTGAACAGCTAATCATGGCTACCCGGACTATTTGCACTGCCCCCCCACCCCATCCTTTTTACGCTGCTGCTACTCTGTTAAGTATTTATGCATAGTCACTTTAACTCTACCCACATGTACATATTACCTCAACTACCTCAACTAGCCGGTGCCCCCGCACATTGACTCTGCAACGGTACCTCCCTGTATATATAGCCTCCCTACTGTCACTTTATTTTACTGTATATATAGCCTCCCTACTGTCACTTTATTTTACTTCTGCTCTTTTTTTCTCAACACTTTTTTTGTTGTTGTTTTATTCTTACTTTTTTTGTTTAAAATAAATGCACTGTTGGTTAAGGGCTGTAAGTAAGCATTTCACTGTAATGTCTGCACCTGTTGTATTCGGCGCATGTGACCAATAAAATTTGATTTGATTTGATTTGATTTGATTTAAAGGAGATGTAGCCTACTGCTTGGACAGCTTCATCTGAGCCACTGGCATGATCACATTCTTAACTTAGATTTTAGGTTGAGTTGGAGATATGAATACAACCTATCATTTGTTAACATGTTGACAAGTTAATAGGCTATTTATTGTTGTGACACTCTGGCTCCGGGACTTTTGTATTTGAGCCAGGGTGTATTTGTTTTGTTGGGTTTTGTTGTGGGGTTTGTTGTATAGGGTGTATTCGGTTGGTGGTGTTTTGGGTGAGTTAATTGTGGTGTCGTGTGACTCCCAATCGAAGGTAACGAGTGTCAGCTGTCGGCTCGTTATCTCTGATTGGGAGCCATATTTAAACTATTTGTGTTCTCTTGAGGGTTGTGGGTTTTTGTTCCGTTTCGGTTAGTTAACCGTGGACTTCATGAGTCGTCTTTTGTTTTGTATTTTGTGCGTCATCTATTAAAGTCATGTTCGCCACAAACGCTGCGCTTTGGTCCGCTTCCTTTCAAGACGGCCGTGACAGAAAAACCCACCATAAAAGGACCAAGCAGCGTGTCAAGCGGCAACAGGATTTATGGACGCCTATCAAGGATTCATGGACATGGGAGGAGATACTGGATGGAAAGGGTCCTTGGGCACAACCGGGAGAATATCGCCGCCCTCGTGAAGAGCTGGAGGCAGCTAAAGCCGAGAGGAGGTGGTATGAGGAGGCAGCACGGAGTCGAGGCTGGAAGCCCGTGGGTACTACCCAAAAATTTCTTGGGGGGGGGCTAAAAGGGAGTGTGGCGAAGTCAGGTAGGAGACCTGCGCCTACTCCCTGGACTGACCGTGGAGAGCGAGAGTACGGGCAGACACCGTGTTACGCAGTAGAGCGCATGGTGTCTCCTGTACGCAGGCATAGCCCGGTTCGGTACATTCCAGCTCCACGTATCGGCCGGGTTAGAGTGAGCATTGAGCCAGATGTCATGAAGCCGGCCCAACGCATCCGGCTACCAGTGCGTCTTCTCGGGCCGGCGTACATGGCACCAGCCTTACGCATGGTGTTCCCGGTTCGCCCACATAGGCCGGTGCGGGTTATTCCACCTCCCCGTACTGGTCGGGCGACGGGGAGCATCAACCCGGGTAAGGTTGGGCAGGCTCAGTGCTCAAGGGGGCCAGTAAGCCTGCACGGTCCGGTATTTCCGGCGCCACCTCCCCGCTCCAGCCCAGTACCACCAGTGCCTACACCACGCACCAAGCCTCCTGTGTGTTCCCCGAGTCCTGTGCGTCCTGTTGCTGCTCTCCGCACTAGCCCTTATGTGCGTCCCCAGGGTCCAGCATGCCCTGTTGCTTCTCTCCGCACTAGGCCTTATGTGCGTCCCCAGGGTCCAGCATGCCCTGTTCCTGCTCTCCGCACTAGGCCTTATGTGCGTCCCCAGGGTCCAGCATGCCCTGTTCCTGCTCTCCGCACTAGGCCTTATGTGCGTCCCCAGGGTCCAGCATGCCCTGTTGCTTCTCCCCGCACTAGCCCTGAGATGCGTGTCCTCAGCCCGGTACCTCCAGTTCCGGCACCACGCACCAGGCCTACGGTGCGCCTCAGCCAGCCATGAGCAGCCAGATCCGTCAGCCAGCCATGAGCAGCCAGATCCGTCAGCCAGCCATGAGCAGCCAGATCCGTCAGCCAGCCATGAGCAGCCAGATCCGTCAGCCAGCCATGAGCAGCCAGATCCGTCAGCCAGCCATGAGCAGCCAGATCCGTCAGCCAGCCATGAGCAGCCAGATCCGTCAGCCAGCCAGGATCCGCCAGAGCCGTCCAGCCAGGATCCGCCAGAGCCAGCCAGCCAGGATCCGCCATTGAGTCCGGGGCTGTCCCTTAGCCCGATGCTGTCCCTTAGCCCGGTGCTGCCCCTTATCCTGGTGCTGCCTCTTAGTCCGGTGCTGCCCCTTAGCCAGGTGCTGTCCCTTAGCCCGGTGCTGCCCCTAAATCCAGGTGGGGTAAGTTGGAGGGTGTTCATGTGGAGGAGGCTAGGGAAGCGGGTGGTGACTAAGGTGGGGTGGGGACCACGACCAGGGCCAGAACCGCCACCGTGGACAGACGCCCACCCAGACCCTCCCCTAGACTGTATGCTGGTGCGCCCGGAGTGCGCACCTTTAGGGGGGGGTACTGTGACACTCTGGCTCCGGGACTTTTGTATTTGAGCCAGGGTGTATTTGTTTTGTTGGGTTTTGTTGTGGGGTTTGTTGTATAGGGTGTATTCGGTTGGTGGTGTTTTGGGTGAGTTAATTGTGGTGTCGTGTGACTCCCAATCGGAGGTAACGAGTGTCAGCTGTCGGCTTGTTATCTCTGATTGGGAGCCATATTTAAACTATTTGTGTTCTCTTGAGGGTTGTGGGTTTTTGTTCCGTTTCGGTTAGTTAACCGTGGACTTCATGAGTCGTCTTTTGTTTTGTATTTTGTGCGTCATCTATTAAAGTCATGTTCGCCACAAACGCTGCGCTTTGGTCCGCTTCCTTTCAAGACGGCCGTGACAATTGTATTCCAAAAGTGATATTGAATTATGTCATTGAATTGTGTCTACACAACTAAATATCAATATTTGAAGGAGATATATATTCTGCTTGGATAATTACATCTGTGCCACTGACTAAGTCTGGCTTTAATTCCAGTTTGTCTAAAAATTCATCATTTGATATGTTGTATTCACGTCTCCATCTCAACCAAAATTCAAAGTTAAAGAACAGGACTAAATCAAATCAAACTTTAAATGCACTATGCATAAGTTGCTCCTCCATTTCCTGGTTGATAAAATTATAATAGTTCGCCTAATTTCAGATTATGTGACAAAACAAG